CACATCAGTGCAGCCTCATCAGCACACAGCAGTGCAGCCTCATCACACAGTGCCACCTAATCACTGCCTATCAGTGCAGCCTCATCAACACACATCAGTGCAGCCTATCAGTGCCACCTAATCACTGCCTATCAGTGCAGCCTCATCAACACCCATCAGTGCAGCCTCATAAACACCCATCAGTGCAGCCTCATCAACACCCATCAGTGCAGCCTCATCAACACCCATCAGTGCAGCCTCATCAACACCCATCAGTGCAGCCTCATCAACACCCATCAGTGCCGCCCATCAGTGCCACCTAATCACTGCCCATCAGTGCAGCCTCATCAACACCCATCAGTGCAGCCTCACTAGCACACAGCAGTGCAGCCTCATCAACACCCATCAGTGCAGCCTCATCAGCACACAGCAGTGCAGCCTCACTAGCACACAGCAGTGCAGCCTCATCAACACCCATCAGTGCAGCCTCATCAACACCCATCAGTGCAGCCTCATCAACACCCATCAGTGCAGCCTCATCAACACCCATCAGTGCAGCCTCATCAACAACACCCATCAGTGCAGCCTCATCAACACCCATCAGTGCAGCCTCATCAACACCCATCAGTGCCAGCCATCAGTGCCACCTAATCACTGCCCATCAGTGCAGCCTCATCAACACCCATCAGTGCAGCCTCATCAACACCCATCAGTGCAGCCTCATCAACACCCATCAGTGCAGCCCATCAGTGCCACCTAATCACTGCCCATCATTGCCGCCTCATCAACACCCATCAGTGCAGCCTCATCAACACCCATCAGTGCAGCCTCATCAACACCCATCAGTGCAGCCTCATCAACACCCATCAGTGCAGCCTCATCAACACCCATCAGTGCCACCACTAATCAACTGCCCATCAGTGCAGCCTCATCAACACCCATCAGTGCAGCCTCATCAACACCCATCAGTGCAGCCTCATCAACACCCATCAGTGCAGCCCATCAGTGCCACCAATCACTGCCCATCAGTGCAGCCTCATCAACGCCCATCAGTGCAGCCTCATCAACGCCCATCAGTGCAGCCTCATCAACGCCCATCAGTGCAGCCTCATCAACGCCCATCAGTGCAGCCTCATCAACGCCCATCAGTGCAGCCCATCAACGCCCATCAGTGCAGCCTCATCAACGCCCATCAGTGCCAGCCACCTAATCAACACCCATCAGTGCAGCCTCATCAACACCCATCAGTGCAGCCTCATCAACACCCATCAGTGCAGCCTCATCAACACCCATCAGTGCAGCCCATCAGTGCCACCTAATCACTGCCCATCAGTGCAGCCTCATCAACACACATCAGTGAAGGAGAACATTTACCTGTTTGCAACATTTTATAATAGAAACAAAGAAAAACTTTTTTTTTTCAATTATTTTGCTCTTTTTTCATTTATAGTGCAAAACATAAAAAAAAAAAAACCAGCAGTGATTAAATATCACCAAAAGAAAGCTCTACTTGTGTGAAAATAAATGATGAGAATGTCATACGGGTATAGTGTCGCATGACCGTGCAATTGTCATTCAAAGTGCGACAGCACTAAAAATTGGCCTGGGCAGGAAGGGGGTAAAAGTGCCCAGTAGGGAAGGGGTTAAACGTGCCAGAAAAAAAAGGAAAAAAATGGCTCTTGCCGCAAAAGGCTTTAAAGTATTTTTCTAACAAAACCCCAAAAAACAACTTTTAATCTGTGTGCAAAAAAAAATCCCAATGTTTATAAATATTTTCCCATTTCTTTCACCCCCAAAACAAAAAACAAACCAGCGGTGACAACAATCAGAATTCAGATCACTGCAGCCAAGAGGTGACCACGCTCTCCCTGGTTGCTATGGGTACTGCAGTCACGTGCTCCCAGTTCCACGTCCCTCATTGGTCTATTAGCAGGCCATGCGTACATTCAGAGAGAGCAACCCGTGTCTGCTATACTGCCCCCAGCGCCCGCCACAAGTACTGCCGTCCGAGGTGTGACCTGTAACCCGCACAGCGGCAAAGTCCGCCTTACCTGAGAGCCCGCACCGTGTGCCCGCCGAGCCTGGAGCTGCTCCGCAGAAGGGCCCCGACAGCCCTCGCACAGAGGACACCGGACATCCCTCTGTGACCCCCACCCCCCCCCGGTCACCACAGAGCCACACAACTCCCGAATCCTTACCGGAGCCGCCCCCAGCCAATCACAGCACTCCTCCCCGTAGCCAATCGAACGACTCCCTACAAAAAAAAAACAGCCCACATGGTCAAGCAGAGGCAGTACACACAGGGTTATACCGTGCGACCAATAGGAGAAGACTGGCGGATAGTTGTCAGCCAATTGTATGGCACCTGGGCAACTTTGTCAGCCAATGGGCGTTTTGTGAGGAAGGTTGAAGGTAGAAAGGCGGGGCATTGTGTTGACGGCGGACTGAGGCTGCTGGAGGTGAGCCTGTCATGGGAGCAGCTCGTGTGCTGCCCATAGTAATGGCGGTGTTTGTTTATGTGTGTCTGGGGGCAGCCATGTGTCAGAATATATCTGGTGCTGTAAAGTGTCTCTCAATGATGTCATTTCATAGATCAGGCTCAATGTTTTACATCTGGAGCTGCAAACTATTGGCACTTGTAGCTTTTCTCTTTCACAGAACACTTTGAATGAGTGACGCGGGCAGAATAGGGGTGTAACATGTTATGAAAAGTTAACTTGTCCTTTAAAAAAAAAATTGGAATTATCAGCACTTTTTAATTTTTTTTTCTCTGTTGGCAAAATGGCGATAACCCTATTTTCGTCCGGCAATTTTTGGCAGCCGATTTATCGGTGCATCACTGGGCAAAAAGATGCAGGAAGGTGATAGAGCAAGCATGCCTAGTGTGGTCTGGACACAAGGACAAAGGAGGCGTAGAGATCAGCATGCATGCCTAGTGTGGTCTGGACACAAGGACAAAGGAGGTGTAGAGATCAGCAAGCATGCCTAGTGTGGTCTGGACACAAGGACAAAGGAGGTGGTCGTAGAAAAGGAGGCGTCAGCATGCCTAGTGTGGTCTGGACACAAGGACAAAGGAGGCGTAGAGATCAGCATGCCTAGTGTGGTCTGGACACAAGGACAAAGGAGGCGTAGAGATCAGCATGCATGCCTAGTGTGGTCTGGACACAAGGACAAAGGAGGCGTAGAGATCAGCATGCAGATGCACAAGGAGTGTGGTCTGGACACAAGGACAAAGGAGGTGGACACAAGGACAAAGGAGGCGTAGAGATCAGCATGCATGCCTAGTGTGGTCTGGACACAAGGACAAAGGAGGCGTAGAGATCAGCATGCATGCCTAGTGTGTGTCTGGACACAAGGACAAAGGAGGCGTAGAGATCAGCATGCATGCCTAGTGTGGTCTGGACACAAGGACAAAGGACAAAGGAGGTGTGTCTGGACACAAGATCAGCATGCATGCCTAGTGTGGTCTGGACACAAGGACAAAGGAGGCGTAGAGATCAGCATGCATGCCTAGTGTGGTCTGGACACAAGGACAAAGGAGGCGTAGAGATCAGCATGCATGCCTAGTGTGGTCTGGACACAAGGACAAAGGAGGCGTAGAGAGTGTGGTCAGCATGCGATCAGCATGCCTAGTGTGGTCTGGACACAAGGACAAAGGAGGCGTAGAGATCAGCATGCATGCCTAGTGTGGTCTGGACACAAGGACAAAGGAGGCGTAGAGATCAGCATGCCTAGTGTGGTCTGGACACAAGGACAAAGGAGGCGTAGAGATCAGCATGCATGCCTAGTGTGGTCTGGACACAAGGACAAAGGAGATATAGAGATCAGCATGCCTAGTGTGGTCTGGACACAAGGACAAAAGAGGCGTAGAGATCAGCATGCGTGCCTAGTGTGGTCTGGGTGCAAGGATGCGGGTGGCAGAGCAGCATGCATCAACAGTATAGTTTGGGCACAAGGATGCAGGAGACAGACATGCATGCGTAGGACAGGAGAAAGCAGGTAGAGTGGGCATGCATGTGTGGGGGTGGTCTGGACGCGAGGATACGTGAAACAAGAGCATTCACGCATATGCAGTATGGACCGGTGTACAAGGATGATAAAGCACAAGGATGCAGGAGGCGGAGAGAGCGGCACACATGCACATTATGATCTGGACACAAGGATGCAGGAGGCGGAGAGAGAGAGCACACATGCACATTATGATCTGGACACAAGGATGCAGGAGGCGGAGAGAGCGGCACACATACACATTATGTTACCAGTGAATGGCTGGAGTGATCCTAGGCTTAAGGACAAAGTGCCGTCCCACTGGAATTTTTAGCACTCCAGTCAGGGACATATTCACCAAAAGGCAAACGGCATTTGCCTAGGGCGGCATTTTTCAGGGGGCAGCGGAAGGAGGGACACATACACGTGAGAACCAGGGGGGATCCATGAAAGGCTGTGGGCTGCTTGACTGTGTATGCAGAGCCTGACTCTCATTCCTGGGGTCTTCTGGAGAATATGAGTGCTATTAGGCTTTGGCCCTTCTGTTCAGTGGTTTAGCTGCTCTGCTTTCCTAACAGTGACTCGGCAGCTCTGCTCCACCTCTATTCCTCCCACACTAACACAATGATGGGGCACTATTCCTCCTCCTGATACCAATGATGGGGCACTATGCCTCCCACTGATACCAATGATGGGGCACTATGCCTCCCACTGATACCAATGATGGGGTACTATTCCTCCCACTGACACCAATGATGGGGCACTATTCCTCCCACTGACACCAATGATGGGGGACTATTCCTCTGACCAATACAATACCAATGATTGGACACTATTCCCACTGACACCCACCACTGATACCAATGATGGGGCACTATTCCTCCCACTGACACCAATGATGGGGCACTATTCCTCCCACTGACACCAATGATGGGGCACTATTCCTCCCACTGACACCAATGATGGGCACTATTCCTCCCACTGACACCAAATGATGGGGCACTATTTCCTCCCACTGACACAATGATGGGGCACTATTCCCTCCCACTGACACCAATGATGGGGCACTATTCCTCCCACTGACACCAATGATGGGGCACTATTCCTCCCACTGACACCAATGATGGGGCACTATTCCTCCCACTGACACCAATGATGGGGCACTATTTCCTCCCACTGACACCAATGATGGGGCACTATTCCTCCCACACTGACACCAATGATGAGGCACTATTCCTCCCACTGACACCAATGATGATGGGGCACTATTCTTCCCACTGACACCAATGATGGGGCACTATTCTTCCCACTGACACCAATGATGGGGCACTATTCCTCCCACTGACACCAATGATGGGGCACTATTCCTCCCACTGACACCAATGATGGGGTACTATTCCTCCCACTGACACCAATGATGGGGTACTATTCCTCCTCCTGATACCAATGATGGGGCACTATTCCTCCCACTGATACCAATGATGGTGCACTCTTCCCCCCCCACTGACACCAATGATGGGGCACTCTTTCCCCAACCCCCCCCGCACTGACACCAATGATGGGGCACTCTTCCCCCCCCCCAACGATGACACCAATGATGGGGCACTCTTCCCCCCCCCCCCCACTGACACCAATGATGGGGCACTCTTCCCCCCCCCCCCCACCCCACTGACCAACTGACACCAATGATGGGGCACTCTTCCCCCCCCCCCCCAACTGACACCAATGATGGGGCACACTTCCCCCCCCACCACTGACGCCACATGCACTCTTCCCCCCCCCCCCACTGGGGCACTCACCAATGATGGGGCACTCTTCCCCCCCCACTGACACCAACGATGGGGGCACTCTTCCCCCCCACTGACAAACCAACATTATGGGGCACTCTTCCCCCCCCCCACTGACACCCCCATCAACGATGGGGCACTCTTCCCCCCCCCCCCACTGACGCCAACGATGGGGCACTCTTCCCCCCCCCCCACTGACGCCAACGATGGGGCACTCTTCCCCCCCCCCCCCCCCACTGACGCCAACGATGGGGCACTCTTCCCCCCCCCCCCACTGACGCCAACGATGGGGCACTCTTTCCCCCCCCACTCCCCCCCCCCCCCCCCCACTGACGCCAACGATGGGGCACTCTTCCCCCCCCCCCCCACTGACGCCAACGATGGGGCACTCTTTACCCCACTGACGCCAACGATGGGGCACTCTTCCCCCCCACGACGCCAACGATGGGGCACTCTTCCCCCCCACTGACGCCAACGATGGGGCACTCTTCCCCCCACTGACGCCAACGATGGGGCACTCTTCCCCCCCACTGACGCCAACGATGGGGCCACTGACGCCAACGATGGGGCACTCTTCCCCCCCACTGACGCCAACGATGGGGCACTCTTCCCCCCCACTGACGCCAACGATGGGGCACTCTTCCCCCCCACTGACGCCAACGATGGGGCACACTCTTCCCCCCCACTGACGCCAACGATGGGGCACTCTCTTCCCCCCCACTGACGCCAACGATGGGGCACTCTTCCCCCCCACTGACGCCAACGATGGGGCACTCTTCCCCCCCCTCACTGACGCCAACGATGGGGCACTCTTCCCCCCCACTGACGCCAACGATGGGGCACTCTTCCCCCCCACTGACGCCAACGATGGGGCACTCTTCCCCCCCACTGACGCCAAACGATGGGGCACTCTTCCCCCCCACTGACGCCAACGATGGGGCACTCTTCCCCCCCACTGACGCCAACGATGGGGCACTCTTCCCCCCCACTGACGCCAACGATGGGGCACTCTTCCCCCCCACTGACGCCAACGATGGGGCACTCTTCCCCCCCTGACTGACGCCACTCTTCGATGGGGCACGATGGGGCACTTCCCCCCCCCCCACTGACCCAACGATGGGGCATCTTCCCCCCCACTGACGCCAACGATGGGGCACTCTTCCCCCCCACTGACGCCAACGATGGGGCACTCTTCCCCCCCACTGACGCCAACGATGGGGCACTCTTCCCCCCACTGACGCCAACGATGGGGCACTCTTCCCCCCCACTGACGCCAACGATGGGGCACTCTTCCCCCCCACTGACGCCAACGATGGGGCACTCTTCCCCCCCACTGACGCCAACGATGGGGCACTCTTCCCCCCCACTGACGCCAACGATGGGGCACTCTTCCCCCCCTGGGGGCCACTGACGCCAACGCCAACGATGGGGCACTCTTCCCCCCCACTGACGCCAACGATGGGGCACTCTTCCCCCCCACTGACGCCAACGATGGGGCACTCTTCCCCCCCACTGACGCCAACGATGGGGCACTCTTCCCCCCCACTGACGCCAACGATGGGGCACTCTTCCCCCCCACTGACGCCAACGATGGGGCACTCTTCCCCCCCACTGACGCCAACGATGGGGCACTCTTCCCCCCCACTGACGCCAACGATGGGGCACTCTTCCCCCCCACTGACGCCAACGATGGGGCACTCTTCCCCCCCCACTGACGCCAACGATGGGGCACTCTTCCCCCCCACTGACGCCAACGATGGGGCACTCTTCCCCCCCACTGACGCCAACGATGGGGCACTCTTCCCCCCCCTGACGCCACTGACGCCAACGATGGGGCACTCTTCCCCCCCACTGACGCCAACGATGGGGCACTCTTCCCCCCCACTGACGCCAACGATGGGGCACTCTTCCCCCCCACTGACGCCAACGATGGGGCACTCTTCCCCCCCACTGACGCCAACGATGGGGCACTCTTCCCCCCCACTGACGCCAACGATGGGGCACTCTTCCCCCCCCACACTGACGCCAACGATGGGGCACTCTTCCCCCCCACACTGACGCAACGATGGGGCACTCTTCCCCCCCACTGACGCCAACGATGGGGCACTCTTCCCCCCCACGCCAACGATGGGGCACTCTTCCCCCCCACTGACGCCAACGATGGGGCACTCTTCCCCCCCACTGACGCCAACGATGGGGCACTCTTCCCCCCCACTGACGCCAACGATGGGGCACTCTTCCCCCCCACTGACGCCAACGATGGGGCACTCTTCCCCCCCACTGACGCCAACGATGGGGCACTCTTCCCCCCCACTGACGCCAACGATGGGGCACTCTTCCCCCCCACTGACGCCAACGATGGGGCACTCTTCCCCCCCACTGACGCCAACGATGGGGCACTCTTCCCCCCCACTGACGCCAACGATGGGGCACTCTTCCCCCCCACTGACGCCAACGATGGGGCACTCTTCCCCCCCACTGACGCCAACGATGGGGCACTCTTCCCCCCCACTGACGCCAACGATGGGGCACTCTTCCCCCCCCACTGACGCCAACGATGGGGCACTCTTCCCCCCACTGACGCCAACGATGGGGCACTCTTCCCCCCCCACTGACGCCAACGATGGGGCACTCTTCCCCCCCACTGACGCCAACGATGGGGCACTCTTCCCCCCCACTGACGCCAACGATGGGGCACTCTTCCCCCCCACTGACCCACCCCCCCCCCACTGACGCCAACGATGGGGCACTCTTCCCCCCCACTGACGCCAACGATGGGGCACTCTTCCCCCCACTGACGCCAACGATGGGGCACTCTTCCCCCCCACTGACGCCAACGATGGGGCACTCTCTTCCCCCCCACTGACGCCAACGATGGGGCACTCTCCCCCCACTGACGCCAACGATGGGGCACTCTTCCCCCCACTGACTGACGCCAACGATGGGGGCACTCTTCCCCCCCCCACTGACGCCAACGATGGGCGCAACTCTTCCCCCCCCCCACTGACGCCAAGATGGGGCAAAAAATTATGCACTCATTATCTACTTTTAATGTACAGAGAAGAGCTGGAGCTCTAATAGGAAGGGGTGAATGTACAGATGAAGGGGTGGATCTTAAACAGGAAGGGGTGGGACAAATTTAGATGGAGATGGGGAATTACATGTATTATGTGTGTGATGAGAAATACAGGGAATAAAGTTTGTAGCTTTTTGCATTGTGGCTTGCTGGCTGTCAGAGACTATCCCTGGGTGTCAGGTATTTTATAGAGCGTAGATGTCAGAGAATGCAGCCCCATGATCACCGGTGTGTCTGATAACTATGTAGCTACACATTTGTGTGGACCTATTGCTACAAATATATTTTTATAGACTTGTGTGCAGTTATTGTAGTGGACCATTAGGTGGCAGTATTTAACTGATCATATTTATATTGAGACAATGTAACAAGACAGTTGATTCTTTGTTGGGATTGTCCTGAATTGTTTTGACACAAAAAGTAAAAAAAAAACACTTAGTTTTTTAAATGCTTTCAGCAGATGATATAATCACTAGGTTCACACTATAGATTGCACAGGAATGCACAGCGTATTCACATACGATTCAGTGTGGTGCGATTTGTTCCCATTGCATTGCGCCAAAAGTGCACTACTTTTGGAAACACGCTGCAACTGGATCGCAGGGTACTTTTGTGCCATGCAACCCAGTGCAGGCAAACGCACTGCATTTGCAATATGCGTTTGGGGTGTCAACATGCTTGCACTGACACCTGCTGCAGATCGCATGGGCAGTGTGGGAAATGCTCAAGGATTTGCAGGTTTCCAGCACCGCGTTCTAATGTGAACCAGGACTTACTGAGTATTCAGCTTTTTTAATGTGTTACTAAATCCTGAACCCTGCATTCGCTATATCTGGTCTCCCCGGACCCTGCATTCGTTATATCTGGTCTCCCCGGACCCCGCATTCGCTATATCTGGTCTCCCCGCGACCCCGCCGCATTCGCTATATCTGGTCTCCCCGGACCCCGCATTCGCTATATCTGGTCTCCCCGGACCCCGCATTCGCTATATCTGGTCTCCCCGGACCCCGCATTCGCTATATCTGGTCTTCCCGGACCCCGCATTCGCTATATCTGGTCTCCCTGGACCCCGCATTCGCTATATCTGGTCTCCCTGGACCCCGCATTCAGTATATATCTGGTCTCCCTGGACCCCGCATTCAGTATATCTGGTCTCCCTGGACCCCGCATTCAGTATATCTGGTCTCCCTGGACCCCGCATTCAGTATATCTGGTCTCCCTGGACCCCGCATTCAGTATATCTGGTCTCCCAGGACCCTGCATCCACTATATCTGCTCTACCCGGACCCCGCATTCACTATATCCGGTCTCCCCGGACCCCGCATTCACTATATCCGGTCTCCCCGGACCCCGCATTTACTATATCCGGTCTCCCCGGACCCCGCATTCACTATATCCGGTCTCCCCGGACCCCGCATTTACTATATCCGGTCTCCCCGGACCCCGCATTCACTATATCCGGTCTCCCCGGACCCCGCATTCACTATATCCGGTCTCCCCGGACCCCGCATTCACTATATCCGGTCTCCCCCGGACCCCGCATTCACTATATCCGGTCTCCCCGGACCCTGCATTCACTATATCCGGTCTCCCCGGACCCCGCATTCACTATATCCGGTTCTCCCCGAACTCCGCATTCACTATATCCGGTCTCCCCGGACCCCGCATTCACTATATCCGGTCTCCCCGGACCCCGCATTCACTATATTTCCGGTCTCCCCCGGACCCCGCATTCACTATATCCGGTCTCCCCGGACCCCGCATTCACTATATCCGGTCTCCCCGGACCCCGCATTCACTATATCCGGTCTCCCCGGACCCCGCATTCACTATATCCGGTCTCCCCGGACCCCGCATTCACTATATATCCGGTCTCCCCGGACCCCGCATTCACTATATCCGGTCTCCCCGGACCCCGCATTCACTATATCCGGTCTCCCCGGACCCCGCATTCACTATATCCGCGTCTCCCCGGACCCCGCATTCACTATATCCGGTCTCCAGACCCCCGGACCCCGCATTCACTATATCCGGTCTCCCAGGACCCCGCATTCACTATATCCGGTCTCCCCAGGACCCCGCATTCACTATATCGGTCTCCCAGGACCCCGCATTCACTATATCCGGTCTCCCAGGACCCCGCATTCACTATATCCGGTCTCCCAGGACCCCGCATTCACTATATCCGGTCTCCCAGGACCCCGCATTCACTATATCCGGTCTCCCAGGACCCCGCATTCACTATATCCGGTCTCCCCAGGACCCCGCATTCACTATATCCGGTCTCCCAGGACCCCGCATTCACTATATCCGGTCTCCCAGGACCCCGCATTCACTATATCCGGTCTCCCAGGACCCCGCATTCACTATATCCGGTCTCCCAGGACCCCGCATTCACTATATCCGGTCTCCCAGGACCCCCGCTTTCACTATATCCGGTCTCCCAGGACCCCGCATTCACTATATCCGGTCTCCCAGGACCCCGCATTCACTATATCCGGCCTCCCAGGACCCCGCATTCACTATATCCGGCCTCCCAGGACCCCGCTTTCACTATATCCGGTCTCCCAGGACCCCGCTTTCACTATATCCGGTCTCCCAGGACCCCGCATTCACTATATCCGGTCTCCCAGGACCCCGCATTCACTATATCCGGTCTCCAAGGACCCCGCATTCACTATATCCGGTCTCCAAGGACCCCGCATTCACTATATCCGGTCTCCTGCAGTACACAGAACATGGAAATGCAATTATTTTAGTAAATATAAACTGCTAAATACTAGTGGTGCACCGAAATGAAAATTCTGATGCCGAAAAGGAAACCAAAAATTCAGAATGCATTTGGCTGAAAACCAAAACTGAAATGCGCAGTTTTTGAAAATGAATATATTTTTTGGGAAATAACACACAGTGATTAAAAAAACAAAAAAAAATACAATATATACCCCAATTTTTGGTAAAATATAAAAGAGGATGTTACGGCGAGTAAATAGATACCCAACATGTCACGTTTTAAAATTGCACACGCTCATGGAATGGCGTCAAAGTGTGGTACTTAAAAATCTTCATGGGTGATGCTTTCAAAATGTCTACAGGTTAGCAGTGTAACGTTACAGAGGCGGCCTAGTGCGAGAATTATTGCTCTTGCTCCGATGTTCGTGGCAGTACCTCACGTGTGTGGTTTGAACACTGTTTACATATGTGGGCAGGCCCTACATATGCGTTCACCACTAGTATTTAATGTTTTCTTTCTTTTTTTTTTTTTTTTTTTCTTTTTTGCACTGTCCCTTTTTAAAAAAAAAAAAAAACTGTAATCACTTTTATTCCTATCACAAGGAATTCATGCATCCCCTGTGATAGAAATAATTAGTGACAGGTCCTCTTTATGGACAGATATGGGGTCGATAAGACCCCACATCTCAACTCTACAGTGTAAAGCATTAGATCAAAAAAAGCATTGATCTAGTGCTTTAAAAAAAAAAAATGCTCCGATCCCCAAAGGGCACAGAGATGAGTGGAGGCCATCTTTCCTTCACTAGTCTCTATGCCCAGCGCCAGGATCGTTCGATGGTTTCTCAGGTCAGGCTGAGAATTATCGAGTGGCAGCTGGGCGTCAGCGGCGAGGGGGCGGGGTTTTTTTATGGCACATGTATCTGTGCTTTTATTCATATCGGCCAATGGCCGATAGGGGTGTTTTCGGCTGAAACGTTTCGGCTGCCAAAATTTCGGTTCACCCTTACTAAATACCTTTTCTCAATAGCAGTATATAGCAGTCTTGTGCCTTCTATTAGTGTCCAGCAGAGCACTGGCTAAAGCTTGTAGGAGTAGTTTTCATTCTCCCCTGATTGTCCTATGAGGCTGCATAACCCCTGACCCTCTGTCTGAACAGTGCTGATCACATGCAGTCTCCCAAAAAAAAACCTCTCTAACAATACAAGCTAAACTGAGCATGTACAGCTTGTCCCCAAGGCTCTGCACTATCAGCAGATGGATTGGGGACAGTAGAAGAAGGGGAGGATCAGAGAAGTAGGGATCAAACAGCCTTTTTACACAATGTGGAGGATTAACCCCTTAGGTTCCACAGTGAGTATAACCAGCATGCTTTACTGCATATACAGAGTGATTTCACTATTGTGGGTTTAGTAACACTTTAGATTTTGATCCCTTGCCTTTGTACAATTTAAGCCGGTGCTATGACCGCTACCCCAGGTTTCTTCTTTCAGGGTGGCTCCTTTCTGTTGCAGCATCCTATGGAGCTACCCATGCATGTAGGTACTAGAGCAGGGGTGGGCAAACTTTTTGACTTGAGGGCCGCAATGGGTTCATAAATTGGACCCGGGGGCTGGACCAAGAGTAGATGAATGATGTATGTGTCATGTGTCATCCATAGTAAGTATAGTAATATTCCCCCATAGTAAGCATAGTAATTCATCCCCCATATAGTAATTCATCCTCCATATAGTAATTCATCCTCCATATAGTAATTCATCCCCCCCCATATAGTAATTCATCCCCCATAGTAATTCAGTATAGTAATTCACCCCCCCTATAGTAATTCATCCCCCCTATAGTAATTCATCCCCCCTATAGTAATTCATCCCCCCTATAGTAATTCATCCCCCCTATAGTAATTCATCCCCCCTATAGTAATTAATTCCCCATATTAATTCATCCCCCATATTAAGTCCCCAAGTCCCCCCTGTGTCAATTTACTTACCTTTGCTCCGCGCGTTCCTCTCGCCGTGTTCCCGCGCCGTTCCAGGTCTTCAGGGCGGACTGTGAGAGGAGCCTAGCTCCCCTCACGTTCGTCACGCTGCCCCGCCTACACACATCCTGACAGCCATCCTGACAGTATCACGCTCCGCAGGCCGGATTAAAAGGTCTGCCGGGCCGTAGTTTGCCCATGCTGTACTGTATTGTCTTCCTACACTGTGTGCATCAATAGAAACAAACAGGCACATAACCTAGGATATCAAGGCACTCCCCTGTTCCTCCCTTCTCCAAGCTAACAGACTGCCTGAAGGTGGCACTGTCCTGTCAATTTTTTTCCGGGAACACAAGATATTCAGGGAAGCAGAACTGAGAGAGCAGGAGTCAATAGCAATGAAATATCTAAGCTGTGAGCGCCAGGGTAAGAATTTTAACAAAAAAGAAAAAAATATTTTGTCTATATATATATATATATATATATATATATATATATATATATATATATATATATATATATATATATATATATATAGATCGTTGGGCTTAAACAGGATGGAAGGTCATGTGTCTAACGGATTATAACTATCACACAAAAATTCAACATGTACATGGAAATGAGTTTCATACAATTGTAGATGCTGTTCCTGGTGATATAAATGAGCGTGTTTTATGTTCATCGGATGAAGACCATCTTCTGCCGTCTTAATTCCCAAATGAGTTCCATGTCTGAAATGCAGATTAATTGCTGCATTGTCTCTTTTTTTGCTCTTTTAGGTCACAAGCGATGATCGTCGCTCATGTTTTGAGTCCATCTTTCCTGGCTAAGCAGCGTTTTCCTCTCCTCTCTGGACCCAGGCAATTTTGGAGCTGGTTGAATGCCGTGTTTAACAGGTATGTAGTAAGTATAACAACACAACAAACACTTTACTCCTGCGCTAGGAAGTAGACCCAATAGGAATGTTCTGGAATTTTCTGGAATGTGCACTACTTGCTGCCCTCAACAGACCGGGGTGGTCCAAATACACTGGATACAAATGGAGAAACAGAAAAAGGGCGCACCGACCTAGTGCATTATCGTTTAAAATAATTTATTAAAGAAACAAAATAGGTATCATACTCACAATGGACATAATAACACAGGCATGTCAAAAACTGAACAAGATGTATGATCCAAACAACATCTGAGTCCATACGATGGAACCCTGGATGACCAACTGGCTAACGCGTTTCGAGGACACAACCTCTTCCCCAGAGCCCTTAGTAGTAAGTATGTCGTATTACTTCTCATCCTCTTCCTGTACAGACATGCTGAGTATGGCAAAATGCAGTCACCACGATCCCTAACCCCCCATAGCAGGGAGATTTTGTTTGCTGGCAATCAGATTTATAAAAGATCTATAAACAGATTAACCCCT